CCCACCTCTTCTTTATCCATTCGTCTGTTGATGGACATCTAGGTTCTTTCCATACTTTAGCTATTGTGGACATTGCTGCTATAAACATTCGGGTGCACGTGTCCCTTCGGATCCCTACATTTATATCTTTAGGGTAAATATCCAGTAGTGCGATTGCTGGGTCGTAGGGTAGCTCTATTTTCAACTTTTTGAGGAACCTCCATGCTGTTTTCCAGAGTGGCTGCACCAGCTTGCATTCCCACTATGGGTTGATCTTAAGCCGATATGACCAGAGTATGTGTCCCTCACTCAATACTCATTAGCCCCTCATAAGAGTGGGGTTCCATATAACACAGTTTGGGAAATAATGATCTAACATCTCAATTCATCATGAACAATAGAGGTTAACAGACAGGCTATGGAGCACAAGGCAGGAGATCAGGGTTGTTGCCTCCACTGCATCACTGACTGGCCATGTGGGCTTGGAGCCTTCCTTACCATCTACAAAATAAGAAGCTTAAACTAAAGCATCACCTCCCAAAACTTGGTCTGGGAGTCACTACTGAGCGTTACACTAAAAAATGGGGGGCAGAGGCTTCTGTAAGCAAATGCACTTGGGAAAAGCTAGTTGATCCAGGGGAGACAGGTTTTCTTACAAAAGGACTTTTGAGAGGCTTTCATACCCTCACGTATGTGGGCTTTCTAAGGAGTGCTGTAGTATGTGGTTTAGATGATCTTGATTCTTGTTCCATGAGGTGACTTACACATTTGTTATATTGAGAGAAGCAATTCAGAAAACAATGAACAAATTATCTCCAGGTCCCACCCAGCCTGAAAAGTCTAGGATTCTCTGTTACTTAAGGTTTATTGTTATTATTACTATTATTATTGTTTTGGTTAATACTCTCCCTGTTTGCCTGGACTATCACGTGAAGTTTCCATGTTGAAAGTGGGAGTCCTGAAAATAACGTGTCTTGGCAAGAATGTGAAGGAAATAGAACCCTTTTTGCACTGTTAGTGGGAATGCAAACTGGTGCAGTCACTGTGGAAATCAGTATGGAAGTTCCTTAAAAAATTAAAAATAGAATTACCACACGATTCATTAATTCCACTAGTGGGTATTTACCCAAAGAAAAACCACTAATTCTAAAAGATATATACACCCCTATGTTTATTGCAGCATTATTTACAATAGCCAAGATATGGAAGCAGTCCAAGTGCCCACTCATGAATGGATAAAGATGTGGCATATATGTACAATGGAATATTATTCAGCCATCAAAAAGAATGAAATCTTACCATTTGCAACAGTATGGATGGGCCTACAGGGTAGAGTGCTAAATGAAATAAGTCAGTCAGAGAAAGAAAAATACCATATGATTTCACTCATATGTGAAATTTAAGAAACAAAACAAACAAAAGAAGAGACAACCCCCATAAAACAGACTTTTAAATACAGAGAACAAGCCAGAGGGGAGGGGGGTGGGGGAATGAATGGGTGAAATAGGTGAAGGGACTAACAGCACCTTATCGTGATGAACACTAGTGTATAGAATTATGGAATCATTAGTCTGTACACCTGAAACTACCACAACACTGTACATTAATTATACTTGAATTTAAATTTAAAAGAAAGAAAGAAAGAAAGAGAGAGAGAGAAGAATGAAGGAAGGAAGGGAGGGAGGGAGGGAGGAAGAAAACGGGAGCCCTGATCTCTGCTCCCTGAGAGCCGAGTCATCGAGTCATTGTGTTCCCCTTTCAGCTCCCACAGCTCAAGCATGACCAGCGAATGATGGGCAGAGATCAGCCTTCCTCCCTCCCCCCACAGAGGTCAGGAGCCCCCGGACTCAGCAGGAGTAGAGGAAGGCTCAAGACCAGATATGATGCCTTCCTAGGCTCCTTTTCCTACCTCACAGCCTTTCTCTCAGCTTCTGGTACTACAGTTGCCAGAAATCACCCATCTGAAGGTCTCTTAAAAGACTGACAAAGCTCTGGGCAGTCCAGAGGTGTGCTTAGACCTCCCTGCAGCTCTAGTGGCTAAAAATGGGGGACTGAACCCCAAACCACGGCACAGCCTGAGCAGAACCTCCTGTGCAAAGCTCCTGGGGGAACCTTTGGATCCCCCAGATGCATCCCGTGCATCTGCAGTGGTGGTCAACGAACCCAACCAGCTATGCCCACCTCCTTCTATTCCTGATTCTCACAAGGAAGTTGACAGCCTGTGCCTCAGTTTCCCCTGTGGCCCCTCTCCCTGATTTTTGCCTCTCTGACTGGACTCTGGACTCTCTGACACCCTCCAGTAGCCTCCTCTCAGTCCTCAGTCTCATTAACCTCTCTGACACCCAAGACCCAGGTTCTTATGTATTTATTTTTATGATCTAACTTTTCAATAGGTAACAAATGCACAGGGTTAAAGAAACGCTAAGAGCCAGCAAGGCAAAAAGGAAAAAGCAAGTCTCCCAAGCTCCCACAACCTCACCCAGAGGCAACTGTTATTAGAAGTTTCTTTTGATACCATCCAGAAACAGTCTATGAATATACAGACACATGTGTGGATAGTGCGTATTCTTTTTTCTTCACACAACTAGAAGTATTCTATACCCATCTTTTCATCTTGCTTTTTTCCACCTAACCGTATGTTTGAGATTTTTCCTTTGCAGTCACAGAGGTCCTGCATCCGCCTTTTTTTAACAGCTGCTTGAGGTTCCATATACCAGATGAGTCATAATTAATTAAACAGCTTCATAACAATGGGCATTTAGATTGTCTCCAGTCTCTTAACATTTCAGGCAATGATGGGGTGAACATCCTTGTACCTTGTCACTGTGCACATGAGCAAAGACCCCTGTCAGAAGAATACCTAGAAGCAGCTCTGCCAGGAGAGCCCTGCTTCTCAAACTCCCACCAGTCTTGCCTTCCCAGGCCCTGCCCCAGCCAGCTCCCCACACAGTCCTGACTCCAGCTTCCACTTCTCAGGGACCTGCAGCTGTGTGTGTCATCATTTTGGTAGTCCTCTCCCCGGCTCTGTCCTGCAGTACTTGGAGCCCCAGCTCCAAGACTTAGAACTTTGGGGCGCCTGGGTGGCTCAGTGGGTTAAGCCGCTGCCTTTGGCTCAGGTCATGATCTCAGGGTCCTGGGATCGAGTCCCGCATCGGGCTCTCTGCTCAGTGGGGAGCCTGCTTCCTCCTCTCTCTCTCTCTCTCTGCCTGCCTCTCCATCTACTTGTGATCTCTCTCTGTCAAATAAATAAATAAAATCTTAAAAAAAAAAAAAAAAAGACTTAGAACTTTGTTGCAAAACCATACACTTCGAATGTTTCCTCATCACATCAAACTCAGATTATCCAAAATCAAACCTGAAATTTCCCCCATCCCCTTGAGTTTGGTCAAAAAGATAATACCATCCCAAGCATGGCAACGGGAAACCTTGGAGTTATTTCTGAAAAAAATTTTTCGTCCTTCCCCTTCAATTTGGTCTGTCACTGTGCCCTGCCCTCAAACTGCTCAATCTTGCTCTCCGTAGCAGGTAAGGCTGACTCCCTCCCCAACATCCAGCCCCAGCACCCTTTCTGCTTCCTAAAATGGCCCCGGATTTGGCTCTGTATTGATTCCTCCAGCTGAGTTCTCGGAGGAGCTGTAATGCTCTGGCCTATTAGTCCAGGGCTGAGCATGTGACTTAACTGGATGGAAGAGAAGGACTTAGATGGTTGAGGGAAGGTTTTAGCTTTTCTACTGAGGGCCCCAGTTGCTACCAACAGGCACCTTAGGACCAGAACAGGAAGTAACCTTGGGTAGCAGAGCAAAAGAAACCTGGCTTCTTCCTGAGCTGCTGAGAAACTGCTTTGAGTGAACCCAGAGCCTTCCTTTCAGCCAACTTCCATTTCTGTGGTTTTGCTGGTTAAGTCACTTGAAGCTACAGTTTTCTTTTACCTGCAGCCAAAGCATCCTAAGCATCTGGGACCACCAGTCCCAGAACAAGCACATCATCACTGCAGGACCCAGACTTCTAAAGATGTGCCTTAACGAAGTCCCTAACTCTGGTCCCCAGTTCTGCATGCCTGTGCCAGTATTCCCTCCAGAGCCTCCTTAGTTCTTACAAGATCAAGACCAATCTTTAGTTTGACTTTTGAGGTTCTAGGTGATTAGTACGGGCCTGGTTATACA